CCGATTTTTTTTTTTTTTTTTTGTTTTTTTTTGCAGTTATAGTGTCAGAAATGGGACTTTTATTTTGAATGCACTGAGAAAGCTTTTATTCTCAGACTCTGTTAGTTTGCTAATTTTAACATTACAACATTTTCTAATTACAACATTACAACTGTTCAGCGAGTTTCCGCAGGTGAAATCCAATCATTTTAATAGGAATCCATGCGATAGGCAATTTCGTATGAAGGCGAAAGATTTTCACACAGATTTCGCAATGGGTTCAACTTGGTTACATGGATCACATGTTTTGACAAACAAAAGCTGCTTGGTTTGATAGTTCAATTCATTTCAAGTTTATTTGTATAGCGCTTTTCACGATACAAATCATTGCAAAGCAGCTTTACAGAAAATTTTTAGCTTCTACACTATATTTAGGAGTAGGTTATTAGTGGAATCATCTGTGAACACTATTAACTGCAATGATTATGTGTTGCGATTAAACGTTGCGATTATGTAAAATTTGGTGGTTTTATATGTTGTTCCAGGGTTAGCAAAAATAAAAGCATTCAAAATATGAAAAAAAAACTATAATAGTATTTCAATGATACTAAAATAACACTGCGCTAACAGCATGCTTTCGATTTAACCACCTTCTCTTTCTCTTGTCTTCCAGCTGTATTGAGAACAGCATGTGCTACGACAGCGATGAGACTAACGCCCGCAGCATCTCTAGCCTGTCCAACCGTTCCTCTCCTCTCTCCTGGCGCCAAGGCCAGTCCAGCCCTCGGCTGCAGGCTGGTGACGCCCCCTCCTCCGGGGTCACCGCCCACTTGCTGCCCATCCGAGCATCAACGCAGATCAGCCACCTGCAGCGCATCCAGCTCATCGAGGGCCTGGACGCCGCGGACGATGACCTGGCCGACCTCAAGTCTGGTTACCTCAGCGACGGCAACCTGACGGGCAAGAGCCAACCAGAAGATGAAGACGACGATGATGATGACGTCGATGATGATGACCTAGCCAATGGGTAAGTGTATATTACTTTTTTTGCTGTTTGCTGATATATATGAAATGCTTAATAGATTGTATTTTAATGTACATGAACTATTGATTATATTATATAAATTATAAACTACCATTCAAAAGTTTGTGTTTTAATTAAGAAATTAAAAATTAATAATTTTGTTATTAAGAAATTAATACTTTTTATTCAGCAAGGATGCTTTAAATTGATCAAAAGTGACAATAAAGACAGTTATAATGTTTTCCCCCCAAATAAATGCCATTCTTTTGAACTTTCTGTTCATCAAATGATCCTGAAAAAATTTAATGTTTTCCACAAAAAAAAAAAAAATGAAGCAGCACAACTTTTTCATCATCGATGATAATAATAAATGTTTCTTGAGCAGCAAATCATCATATTATACTGATTTCTGAAGGACCATGGGACACTGAAGACTGGAGTAATGATGCTGAAAATTCAGTTTTGCATCACAGGAATAAATTACAATTTTTAAAATATTTAAGTAGAAAACAGTTATTTTAAATTGTAACAATATTTCACAATATTACTGTTTTTTACTGAATGTCTGATCAAATAAATGAAGCCTTTGTGAGCATAAGTGACTTCTTTCAATTAAAATATAATATAATAAATAAATACAATACAACCCTAAACATTTGGAGGTAGTTTATATTTTATATAATTTAATATTTTATTTAAAAAAAATATAACATTTACAATAATTTAATATTAATGCAGAACTCATTATATTAATAGTGTAAGCTGCACAATTGTAAAGATGATAGATGTTTTACACATGGAAGTCCTTTGAGCAATGATTAACTGCTTTTAATCGCCAACGAGTGGCATTGTGAAAGATTTCATTGGCTGATTTATTGTCAGTCTGAGGCCCCCCAAAGAACAATCATGTCACAATCAGCTGAGGGTCTCATTTTGGAGCCATTTGTGCCATCTTCAGGATCTGGCCTCATCAGATCTGGCTATGTCCCCCGAGGGGCCCCTCGCAGAGCCGGCTCTCATTTTCAGTGTCACAACACCTGATGTTGCTGAACGCAGCCTTCCTTCTGCTAGCTGCAGCTGTCCGCAGAGGACAGCTCATTGTTGCAGATGCAGTGTTAAATGCGTGTGCATGTGTGTGTGTTTATGTGTGAACACAAAACTAGGAAATTACAGAGGAAATGAGATGTGTTTGTTTAAGCTGTCAGCGGAGCTTTGGTGTTGGCCTCTCTTAACCTGCGCTGTTGGTTTAGTCTGATGGGGAATCGCTGTCAACAGCCACCGAGTCACTGCGAAGTGAGAAAGTTCACAATCTGAAAGCACTTCACCTTGTGTTTGTTTGACATCACGTCAGATCGAATAAGTGGATCACAGTTACAATCTAACATAAAAATGAATATGTTTTGCTTGGATGAAGACAATAGCAAGCCTTCATGTGTTTTCCAGCAGTAATGCATTGTGATGCAGCTAAGCACACACACAAAAAAAATGGTGTGGAAACAATTTTCAACCAGAAATTGCTAGTAAATTCCACAAATAATTATAAATAAACAGCAAGTAATATTAAAATTTAAAGGTGGGGTAAGCGATTTCTGGTAACCAATGTTGATATTTCTGGATGCGGCGAGGCATGACAAATCCAAGACAGACTCTTAGCTGTTGCGGCGCAGACACGGTGTTACTCGCCTATCGAGAAGAAACAAAGCAACTTCGGCGTCCGGCCGCAGGCCTTCCGCTCCTTGAGTTCTCTCCAGCGCTGGAAAGCTGATCCGATATTTACACGGGTCCTACTTCTTGCCCTATGCCTTCTTTTGTTCCGCAGACGTTTTCCTCTTTTGTTTTTTTATCCGCCATCTCATCTTTCTGTCGCTCGGCTTGCTAATGTGAGCACTGAATGCTCTCTCCTTCACATCATGAGTAGACACGCCCCTTACTGCTGATTGGCTTGTTTTTTTTTGCTAGTTTGCTGAAACTTTGCTGAAGTTTGTTTTGCTAGTCGGCCCGAATCAATTTTCTAAATCATTTTTGAAAAATCGCTTACCCCACCTTTAATTACCATGAACTAAGAATGAAAAAGTTCAAGTTCAACTTATTTATATAGCGTGCATAAAAACAGCCACACGACTGACCAAAGTACTGTACAGAGGTTCAAACAAGAATAAAATAAAAATATAGAAATCAGCACAACTAAACACAATTAAGACAGCGTCTAGCCCCAATGATATAAATAACTAAATATGATAATAAAACAAGGGGATCAAAGGATAGACACTTAGAGGACAAAATACTAGGCAAATACCATAATAGAAGAGTATTAATAAGCCAGGGAAAACAGACAGACTTAAAGTGGTCAGAGAAGGGAATAATCTAATCTCTAAAGGCAGGTTATTCCACAACCGCGGCCCGGCCACTGAAAAAAATTAAAATCCCCTCTGCGTTTGAGTCTGAAGTGTGTGAACAATACTTCAGCAGCATTTTTAATTTTAGCATTTACTAATGCATTATTAGTAATCACAAGTTGTGTTTGTTAGCATTAGTTAAAGCACTGTGAACTAACAGGAATAAACAATGAACGACTGTATTTTTATTAACTAACATTAACAAATATTAATAAATAGTGTAATAAATGTATTGTTTATTGTTCGTTCATGTTAGTTAATACATTAACTAATGTTAACAAATGACACCTTATTGTAAAGTGTTACCGTATTTTCTTGTAAAACGTACTCCAATAAACGTTGCTTCATTTGTAAGTTTCAGACATTCATTTTTTACAGTGCATATTTGATAACTACTAAGGATTTTTAGATATTTCGTAGCACAATACCAACGATAAGGACGCCAAACATTGTTGATTTTCTGATTAATCTATATTTTAATGATCTTAAAATCCCAAGCTGTTTTCCCAAGTATGTACTATTTTCGGTAGTAGCATGAAAATGTATTACTACAGCACCTTCAATATTGCAGATTTCAGTTTGCAGTCTGTATTAAATGTCATACATTTTTGCTGATATCATATAGAAATATATAAAATGGTTAATATATCATATTTGAATGTAAATTAACTATTGATTTTTTTATTATTATTTATACACTACCTTTCAAATGTGTGGGGTCAGATAAAAAAAATAAATAAATAAATAAATACTTTTATTCATCAGGAACACGCTAAACTGATCAAAATTGACAGCAGAGATATTTATATTGTTACAAAATGTTAACATTAAATAAATTCTGTTTTAGAACTTTCTATTCATCATATAATTTTTAAAAAAGTCTTGTCGTTTCCACAAAAAATATGAAGCAGCACAACTGTTTTTTTACCATTGATAATACCAGTAATAAGAAATGTTTCATGAGCTGCAAATCAGCATATTAGAGTGAATTCTGAAGGATCATGTGACACTGAAGACTGCCTTATAGTCTTATGTTTTGAATGGGATACAATAAAAAGAAGGCTTACTATGAAATTATGGTAAAACATATGTCACAAACAAATTATGAACAAATGAATCCAATGACTACTTTTGTCTGATTCCCAAAACAAATGATCTATGAGCCGATTTCCATGCTAAATAGTTCAATAGATAACATTTGATGATTTGAATCAGTCTGCAACACCGTCCTGTATAATTCACAACATTAGCAAAGACGTTTATACAGGAAAGCAAAATGGACATTAAAACAGGAATACAGTATACCCAGATGAATCAGAATCAAATCAAGATTTCAAAAGTGAAATCTGTATTTATACCGGACTCTACCAAGCTAACAACAAAATATCTGTTTTCCAGGGCTGCGGCTGGTTAAGACAGAAACTCAGTTTTACAGGAAGAGATTGTGTCCTACTTGGTTCGGAAATGTTGTTACAATCAATACTGTGAAGAAAATCTCTTGTTTCTTGTCCTCGCCAAATTTGAAATGAGATTTTCTCTCCTGTATAAGGTTTATGTTGTCATTGCAGTATTTCTGTGCATGTTTCCTCAGACCTGATCTGCTCTAGAGGTGTATTCGTCTGTCTGGCTTGACTCGTCTGGGATGAGCAGCTGATTTGTATTTGTTAGCGCGCCGCTGTCCCTCTGCGAGGCATGCTGAGGTCTGTCTGGAGTTGCCAAGGTGACTGAGCACAGACAGGTCATGAATGTTATCAGCTCATTAGAGCGCATGCAGGACGCTGAACAACATCCTCATGTGTGCCAGCATTTGACCCCACATGATTAATGCACAGTTATATTTCAAAGGTACTTACTTCCGTTTGGTTAAAAATTGAAGTTAGTTATTAGACGTGCAAATACAACAAACTGCCTGTTTCAGCCTACTTTGGGTTATGTAAATGCTATGCAGCTTCTTAGAATAAAACACTCATATGATTATACAAAGTGCAGCACATGCAGAGATGTAAATGTGGCACATTTCTGTAAGCTGTGTAGGAGCTTGGTTATCTAAACCCCTTCTGATATCTCCTTCCCAGGTGTGTGTGTGTGTGTGTGTGTGTGTGTTTTGCCGTGGAAACGGAGTGAGTTTGAAAACCTCTGTTTTATATAATCTTCCTTTAGTCTTCTTCAGTGGATGATGGGTATGAGGATTAATGAACATGAAACTGCTCTAAGGTGTTCTTAGTGCATTGGTATGTGGTTGCTAGGGTGTTGCTAGCGTGAGATGAGTTATATGTCGAAGTTTAATTCATAAAATATAAACATTTGATCAAAATACAGTAAAAACTGATATTGTGAAATATTTTTTACAATTTAAAATAACCGTTTTCTATAACTCCAGTTTTCAGTGTCACATGATCCTTCAGAAATCATTGTAATATGCTGATTTGATGCTCAAGAAACATCTATTATTATTATCAATGCTGAAAATAGTTGAGCTGATTCATATTTATGTGAAACGTGATACTACTTTTCAGGATCCTTTGATTAATAGAACGTTCAAAAGAACAGCATTTGAAATGGATTTTTTTTTGTAACGTTATAACGTCACTCAATCAATTTAATGTGCCCT